CAACATTTCCTGTTGCATATTGGAAATTTAAGATAACTGCCAGCTGTGATTTCTTATTGAGGTGCCAACTTTGTTTCAGACTCTGACTCTATCTGCAGCTGCAGACCTGACCATAAATTAATCTGGTACAAGAATTGGTTAGAGCATTATTAAATTATATTCTTTTTGTGAGGATTAGTCCCTCGCCACTTCCTCTTTGTTATTCTTAGTAAATAGCTCATTTAGGACTGGTGCTATTTCCTTTTGACATATTATACAGTCTCTTTTTGATCCAGCTCATTGTTACATTTTTTTCCTCTGGTAAGCTACTCCGTTAGCTTTTGAATTAGAAGTCAAATTCCATAGAGGGATGTTTGAAGCAAAGAAAAGTTGTCTAAAAACTGTTGGCAAGCTTGTGATACTTTAACAAAATCACTTTTAAAAACTCAAGCGAGATATTTTCAGATAAAGGGGTAAAAGATTCTTTAAAATAAAGTGAAAATGAGATACAAGGATTTTAAGTATTTGCACAAATGAAGCATTTTGGAAGCCACATAGTTTTATTTGAAAACTGAAACTACTCAAAATGTTTACTTCCCAAATTAGAGGGATTTACCCAGATTTCTATAAGGAGAGAAAATGTTGGTACCTTCTAGGCTTTATTGTACTGTCACTAAATATTTGAACTCTTTTTTTGGATCTGTAATGCTTTGTTCACAAAGTGGATGCATTCTAAACATTTAACCCTTGAGTGCTTTCTATGTGACAAACACTTCTACGCATTTAAGCTGCATTAATTCATTTAATCTTTTTTTTTTAAGATTTTATTTATTTATTTGACAGAGAGAGAGACACAGCGAGAGAGGGAACACAAGCAGGGGGAATGGGAGAGGGAGAAGCAGGCTCCCCACAGAGCAGGGAGCCCAATGCGGGGCTCGATCCCAGGACCCTGGGATCATGACCTGAGCCGAAGGCAGATGCTTAACGACTAAGCCACCCAGGCGCCCCTAATTCATTTAATCTTCACAAAATTCTGAGATTGGTTTTATTATCTCCATTTTAACAAAGAAACCTTTGCACAGAAAAGTTAAGTATCTTTCTTAAAGTCACACAGCCAGAAAATAGCAGAGCTTGGGTTCAAACACGTGAAGTCTGGCTCTAAGGTCTGAGCATTTAATTACTTGCTGTGTTGTGCTGTTTCTCAGTATTCTCCAACTCCCCCATTAATAGTTTCTTTTTTGGTAACTATGCATGATTTTGAAAGTGCTTGCACATCTTGATTCTCACAACAACCTTGTGAGTTAGGAAGGATAGATATTATTATTAACCTTATTTACAGATGAGGAAACAGACAAAACTGAGAGATAAATGTCTAAAAGATACCAGAGCTGAGGCTCAAAATCAGCTACTTACAGCCATGATTTATTCTACTGTACCATACTGCTTCCAGAAGAGGCAGGCTTTGGAGAGTTCTAAGTGTGGCTTTGAATCCTGCCTCTACTAGTTGCTTCTTGAGTAATTTTGTTAAGTAACTACTATGGACTTCAGTTTTCTCATCTGTAAAATGGGAATAATATTGTCTTCCTGTATTACAGGGCTGTTGTGATGATTAAAGGACACAAAGCATGTAAACCTTTATCATAGTGTTAGGTTTGCAGTGGGCTATTTTGTGCCTAGTAATAAGTCAGAATTAAAAGTGAGACTAGAGGTAAAATAGTCTTTTTTAAAAAAGAAATTTATTAATATAGATGTTCTAAAACATGGTTGATCACTAGACTCCCTCAGGGAACTTTTTTAGTGTACAGAGTCCCAGGCTTTACTTGAACTTGCTAAATCAGAATCTGTGGGAGTTGAGCTCAGAAACCTGTATTTAAGTGCATGTGCGCCCATGCATGCACACATACACACAGACACACACTTTTCTTCCTGGGGGATCTTGATGGCCAGTCAGATTTGGGAACCATGAACCAAAATGCAGAGAAGAAAACAACAACAACAACAACAAAAACAAAAAGAAAACCCAAAAACAAAATACAGAGAAGATCCTATCCTGGATGGTCTGTTTTTTATATGTACAGGTTGTTTTCCTCCCTGTACGTTATTATTTTGCTATGAAATAACTTAGTTTAATACAGTTATTAAATCACAAATTATTGTATAATAATAAAAGTTATTATTATAAAAGGATTTAAAAGGCCAGTATTTTTAGTTTTTATTTCTGTTTTCAGAGCTCTGAATATGAATGTGCCAACTCTTAATAACCTGGTCAAAAGGCTCAGCTTAACCTTCAATATGAAAGGGTCAGTTTCTCTTAAGATTCAAGATTTTTATTTGTATGAGTGCCTAATGTATTATGTAGAGTTTGAAAACTTTAGAGGAACTAGGTTTAGCAGTTTTAATAATTCTTTCATATATTTCTTGTGATTCTTTTTTTTCCTTTAAATAAAGTTTTCATAGCTAATTCTCAGTTGTGCATTCATACATTATTATGTGGTTGACATTTGCAGATCGCCTCTAATCCTTATTTTCTCCCATATGATCATCCCTTTCACAAAAAAAATGCCTGAAACCAAAATGAACAGAACCCCCTTAATGATTAAAAAGGACAAGTAGCTTAATACCCCCTTTTTAATTGTTAAATCTCAACAGTTTTAATTTGTCTTTTCTCACTTCAAATTGTTTTTTGAGATAGGGAATGCCATAAATAAAGAAAAATAACCCCTTTTTCCTCCTGCATACTATTTGCTCAGGTTTCTTTGTTCCTCAGTTGGCCACAAGTCAGGGAACTAGAGGGAATGGGGAGGAAAAGAAAGAAAAGGCATAAACATATTCTGCAAACTGGATAATTTGCATGCTGAAATATGGAACTGAGTACATTTTGGTAAAACATACGTAACATAAAACTTATCTTACCCATTTTTACAAGTATAGGATTCTGTGGCCTTAAGTACATTCACATTGTTGTGCAACCATTGTCACCACCCATCTACAGAGTCTTCATTTTGTCAGACCTGTGTACATTTTAAAAAGATGTTTGGATGTTTGAAGACTGCTCTGTGAAGTCAGGAATGTGGATGGATTTAGAAGCCCCGTCCTGTCTGTAGTAGGTGTGTTGCTCCTCTGTGCGGGGAGCATGGGCTGTCATAGCTCTTTGAAGAGCTCAGAGGAGCTGTGTCAGAAGGGGTAACCAGCAAGTCCTCTCGGGTGTCAGAGGACCAATTCACATGCTTTTTTTTTTTTTCCCCCTTGCTTGTTTGGCTTTGATTGTTCCACAGGTTTGGGGGAAATGCAATTAGAGAGTTGACTTTAAGCGAAACTTACCTGAAAGCACAGAGTGTATCAAATTGGGAACCCTTAGGCAGCTAGCTCTCCAAAGGAGAAAGATGAGGGTAGCATGGAAGCTACTTATGCCCCCTTACTACAGTTAGTTTGGCAAATATTATGGTGAGTGTTCCCAGGAAAAGAAATTAAGCCTTTTGAAGGGATAGCAAACAGTCTTTTTAAGGCATCACAGAAGCCTGGAATATTACTGTTCTCCTTGTTTTAGAGCTGCAGATATGAAGAAAACATGTCCCATGCACATCTCTCCAAATGGAAGTTATCAGAATGTTGCTTATTTTTGGACCTTATGATCTAAAAGTCCTTCTAGCTCTAAAATTCTGTGAGTTCCCTTGAGATCCAGGACCCAAAGAGATTCATGCTTATAATGCGCAGGTCTCTTAAATCTAAAGGATCAATGACAAGCATAGAAATTGATAATCTTTTATAGGAATTAGAGTTTAGCAAATGGAGTGTTCAGAGACTTCTGTTGTTGAGCAGAATGTACATGTAGACATTGGGTGCATAGACCTACTTGTAATAAAGAAGAAAGGAAGCTTTTATGGCTTTTTGACATTTGTGGCTGCTAGGACTTTCAGATTTCATTTTTTTAAAAAAAGATTTATTTGTTGAGAGTGAGCGCATGAGTGGGGGGAGGGGCAGAGGAGAGGGAGAGAGAGAGAATCCTCAAGTAGACTGATGTTATGGAGCCTGATATCATGACCTGAGCCAAAATCAAGAGTTGGACACTTTGACTGAGCCACCCAGGCACCCCCAGATCTCATTTTTCAAAATAGCTTTATTGAGATATATTTCATCCATTTGAAATGTATAATTCAATGGTTTTTGGTATTTTACAATATTGATTTTTTTTAAGTTGTCATTATAACATGTATAACAAAATTTGCCATTTTAACTATTTGCAGACTACAATTCAATGGCATTCATTGCATTTACAATGTTGTGCAACCATCACCACTCTCTATTTCTAAAACCTTTTCATTACCCCACAGAGGAACTCTGTAACCATTAAGTAATAACTCCCCATTCCCCCTCTTCCGGATCCTGGTAACTTTTAATAAACTTTATGTCTCTATGAATTTGTCTAATTCTGAATATTCCATATAAGTGGAATTATACAGTATTTTTCCTTTTGTATCTGGCATTTTTTCACTTAGCATAATGACTTTAAGATTCATCCGTGTTGTAGGATGTATCAGAACTTCATTCCTTTCCCCTCCTTCAAATAACTTCATTCCTTTTTTAAGGCTGAATACTTTTCCACCATATGTATATATTACATGTGGTTTATCCATTTATCTGTTGATGGACGCTTGGTTTTATTTCATTTTGCTGCCTATGGAAATAACAGCCATCCCAGGCATCTAGTAGTGAGAACCAGAAGTTTGCAGGTTTTGATTATGTATTAGCAGCCTGTACAGAAGGATGCAAAGGCAAGAATTGTGCTTAGTTTAAAAGATACTGTCCACTGTTATTGTTTTATGGAATGATAACCATGATAGCTTGGTAGAACTGATGATCTCATAGTATCTCACTATTTTACTTGAGTAATTTATTCATTTTTAGGGCATGGCAAATTAAGGATAAAAAAACTTGGTAAAGATAGCAGTTTTTGAAAATGTAAAGAATTACCATAATCACAATAATTGATCTCAGCTCAGGTCTTGATCTCAGCTCAGGTCTTGATCTCAGGGTCATGAGTTCAAGTCCTGCATTGGGCTCCATGCTGGGTGCGGAGCCCTAAAAAAGAAAGAAAAAAGAAAAAAGGAATAGAGTTTTTAAAAACTGCACAAATTTTGAATGTCATTCATTCAGTAAATGTTTTTTGAGCATCTGTCCTCTGCAGGTGCTATGTCAGATGTGAGGGATAGACAGTGGACAGGTCGAACATAGTCCTTGCCCTCATGGAGCTTATATTCTATAAGGGGAAATAGACATTAAACAAAGAATTACAGAATGGACTAGTTCAATTTTCAGTTCCCTTTTTTCTTTAAAATTAATGTCTGCATTTAACATGGTAATTTCTGTCTTGAAAGCTATGATTGTCAGTGTATGTCACAGTGGTATTTTCAGAATTGAGGAAATACAGTAATCTATTTACAACTGTGTTAAGCGCTTTGAGTGGACAGTAAATGATTTTATTAAAAAGTGTGTGATAGGGGACTTGACATGTTTGGAGGCTTTGGGAAGGCTTCCCTGAGCCCTTTCAACTGAGTTCTGAAGGATGAATGGAATTATTGAGGGGATAGAGTTGTCAGATGTGGGAAAGAGCTTTCCAGTCAGAGGGAAGAATGTGTGACAAGCTTTTGAGCCTGAAAGAATATGGAGAATTCGAGGAATAATAACAACAGCTAACATGTACTGATTACTGAGCTCATATTACGTACCTGTCACTGTCCTAAGTTCTTTATTTTGTTGATTATGAATGCAGGGCATGGAGAAGTGAAGTAACTTGCCCAAGGTCACATAGCTAAAAAGGTAAGGCTGAAATTTGCACTTAGGCTCCTCTGCTTGTAAACGATTGTGCCTCCTGTGAGGTACTGTTAACACTAACATGCACAGCAAGGAGGAGAGTAGCCAGGGAGTAGGCAGGAGCCAGATCATATAAGCCAGTGGTTCTCAACCGAGGGTGATTTTGTCCCCCACAGGACATTTGGTAATATGTGGAGATACTTTTGTCTGTCCAAACAGGAGGAGGGATGTGCTACTGGTGTTTGTGGGTAGAGACCAGGGATGCTCATACACATCCTACAATGCCCAGGACAGCCCCCCACAGCAAAGAATTATCTGGCCCAAATAGTCAGTAGTTGAGAACCCTGTTACAGGTTCTTACAGAGTGTATTTAGGATTTGGGTCTGTGTCTAAAGAACGATGGAAAAACATTGTGAAGGGTTTTATGTAGGGGTATGACTTGATCATATCTGTGCCTTAAAAGGATGACTTTAGTGCAGATTGGAGAGTATATCTATATCAGAAAGGATATTAGTGGATATGGGGAGATGAGTTGTGATACTTTCAGAGGCAGTGGGGGCCTGGCCCAGAGAGACGGCAGTGGGGATGGTGAGAGATGGTTGGGACGGAGAAGTAAGTAGTTGATGCTCAGTGAGTGAGTGTGTTTGAGTAGTAGAGGGGGGTAAGTTTGGATTGTGCTTCTGGGTGGTGGTAGGGATCATTTGAGTGGGAAGGAGTCTTGGAGAGGGAGAACCATGGACTTACGTGGTATGTGTTGTATTTAAGGTGCCTGTGAGGCATCTAAGTAGAGACTGAAGAGGCAGTTGGCGGATATGGATCAAGAACTCTAAGGAGAGGTCTGGGCTGTAGATAAACACTGAGACCTGTGAGCATGTAGAAGGTAATTGAAATCATGAGTGTGGATGAAATTTGTCTAGGGAGGAAGTGTAGAGTTGAAAATAATCACTCCTAAAAAAAAAAAGAAAATAATCACTCCTCAGGCTGAGTCCTAAGGCTGCTCCAGGACTTCAAGGTCAAGTCTTGAGTCTTTCTTAATTCTGACACTTTTTTGGTCATCCTTTTGTGCTCAGTTCAGATTGTTCTGTGCAAATCGGATTTGTCTGGAAAGCTAACTTCACAGGAGGCATAATGACTCTTATTTAAAATGCTTTTGAGTGTTCTCAATGGTGGTACACAAAAATTTATTAAAAATTATGAAATGTAAATCAATTTTTTAGAGTTATGAGAAGTGACTTTTTTTTAATTTCTCCCCGGTTAAAAAAAAATTCTCCCCCTTTGTGCTTACAGTCTTTATTAAACAAATCCTTCGAAAGAGTAAATCTATGTTGTTTTTGATCATTTAGAATTCCTTCCAGTGGCATTAGTGCATGAATTCAGCCAATTCCCATTGCGTGCAGACCTTTTTCCATTTTTTTCCCCGTTCACCCCTGGAACTAAGAGCTCAGGCTCTGTGATGGCCAGCGTCGCTCTGAGTATCTTGCTTTTCCTTGATTTGTTCTTCTAACCAGCATTAACAAGACTGCGTTTGTGTGAGTGTGATTGAAAAATACCTGGTATAGCATTCAGTTGTCATAATCTTCACCATTCCTGTGACTTAGAGGAATTTGGGGAAAAAAATTCAAATAGCACAATATCAGTAACCTAAATGTGAAGACATTATTGGCAACACCCTTTTTCTTCCCCCAAAGTATTTCTGTGAGAACTATGATTCACATTTTCCCCTTTGGTTAGATATGTCACTGCAGATCCAGAATTTCAATTCTCCTGAGCTATTTATTGGGTTGTATTCAGACCTGAGTAATATAGTCTATAATCTTAAATTTCCTCTCTCATTCCAAAATAATATTTTGCTATCAGAAGGTCTCTGAGTAAAAGGAAGATACAGTTTTTTGACATCAGAAGAAAATGGCTTAAAGTCCGTAGATTTTTATCTAATACATACAGGTATTTGTACTCAGAATTTATATAGTTGGTTTTCAACTACCAAAAGCTTTTTAAAAAGTAGTTAACCATAATTACATTGTAAGATCTAATTAAGAAAAATGGTACCTGAGATTTTTCTACTAAAGGGAAGTTACTAAGAAATTGAGTAATGATTTTGTTAGTCTGGAAACCATAGCAACACCATAAATATTATGTCTCTTAATTTGTCTTTCAGGGTTCTTTGGCATGAGTGTCATGGAAAAATAAACAAAATTAAACACAGTAAACTCTGAGTCTTAGCTACCTGAATTAGTCATTTTCCTTGAATGTTTCACTTTCTAGAATTTTGTATTATACATTTCTTGAAATTAAAGCATAGTCTGTAAAGATACAGATTATTTTTTGTATTTCTTAACGTCAGTTGCATGGGTTTTATATTATGGGTATACATGCAAGTTGGCAGCTCTGCACTTGGCTTGATTAAGTGCATTTCTGTCAAATTGTGAATTTTTTAATACATTTTTTTAAGATTTATTGATTTTAGAGAGAGAGGGAGAGCGAGCTCGTGCGTATGAATGGGGGGAGGGGCAAAGGGAGAGGGAGAGAGATCCTCAAGCAGACTCTCAGCTGAGCGTGGTGCTGACTTGGGGCTAGATCCCAGGACCCTGAGATCATGACCTGAGCCAAAATCAAGAGTTGGTAGCTTAACCTACTGAGCCATCCAGGCACCCCTCAAATTACGAAATTTTAATTTGCCTCTCTTGAAAAGTGTTACATGATGACAGTAGGACAGAATTTTAAAGCTAGAGGTTTCCTTTCTTTTAAAGGCATTTGAGTGTGGGTTTTCATGTACTTCTCTTTGAAAATATTAAATGCAGGAAGGTTTTGATAATAGTATAACTACCCATGAGTCTACCACCCAACATTAACTGATACCAGTGTTTTTTGATAATTGCTTCAGGTTAAAAAAGCTAAGGAAGGGAGAAAGAAGACATTATAAACGAAGTTTAGGGCCCCTTTTTCACTTCCTAGGCCTCTCTTTCCACCTGCCCCTTTACCCAACAGTGAACTACTATAATAAAATCATAAAATTTCCTTCCTGTCTGTGTTCTAAAAGCTCGAATACATATCTCCGTAAACAGTATTGTTTTATGGGTTTTTGGGTATCATTTTCCAAGTGCTCAATAGGCATGCGGGTGTGAAACAAGTAGAACCATGTGGGAAGCTGCCAGAATAACAGCTCAGTATGGCTGGAGGGAGGTTGGGGAATGGGAGGAGATAATGCTGGAGAGACCGTAGGGCCAGTCATGAAGGGATTTGTGTGCTGAGGAGTTTAAATCTGATTTTGGAAGCTGTGGAGGAGCCATTGAAGAGTAAAAGATTTTTCGGATTTGATTTGTCACACAATTGCTTTAGCCATCATATGAAGAATGACTGGTGTAGGAGGCAGAAAACTAGCTGGGAAGCTGCTATGGTCATCTTGGCAAGAGGTGCCGAGAGCCTGAATTAAGGCAGTAATAGAATGGAGAGGAAAGTTTGGATGGTAAGAACAGTAAAGAGAGAATCTTGAAGGGAGCTATGTAGTTGAGGTTTGGTGACTGAATGTGGAGGGAGGGTAAAAAAGGAGGAGGAGGCTTGTGATGATTCTTTATCTCAGTTTTTGGGTAACTGGACAGCTACCAAGGAATAAAGAGAGGAAGAGGAAGTTGAAGGGAAAGATTATAAAGTCAATTTGTGATACACTGAGGCTGAGGTTCCAGTGGGACAGCCTCAGTGGTTCATAGCTAGTTGGAGCAGGACTGTGGGAGAAAAGTCTGAGTTGGACATAAAGATTTGCAGATGATCAGTATCATGGCGAGAGGTGGGGGATGGAGGGGGAGCATAGAGTGAAAAGGGAGATCAAGCCCAGAAGCTTTAGAGCTTTGGAGCTCATGATAAATTCTGAGGAAGAGAGGTCGGAGAGTCAGGGGTAAAACTGGGCGATTAGTATTGCAGAAAGCCAAGAGATGGGAAATTTAAGAAGGAATTGAGTGGTCAGGGATGTTGGAAGTCCAGAAAGGACAAGTGAGATAAGAATAGAAAAATCCTATTGGGTTTGGTAGTTACAGGTCATTAGTGACTTGCAGGACCAATTTCAATAAAATTATTTGGGCAGAAGCCAGAATGCAGTCACGTGGAGGAAGTGGGAAGTTAGGAGGAGGTGTAAGAAAAGTTGGCTATGAAGAGAAGACAAGGCAGAATCGAACCAGGATGGGATTGTTTGTTTTTATTTGTTTTTGAAAGATGAGAGGGAGTTTGAACCTATCTAATGAGAAGAACAAGCTAATAGAGGAGAGAGTGAAGATGGAGAAGAGAAATCACATAGTTGAGTCAACCTCCCTCAGGAAGATGGATTTCATATCATAACATGGAGTGTGTGTGTGTGTGTGTGTGTGTGTCTCAGGAGGGATATAGTTATATATGTTTTATATTTATAGTTATATGGCTTATAATTCTCTGGCCTTTGAATTTTAGGATGATGGATTCAAACTATTTTTGGATCCCAATGAGGGGATTGAATTTACAAGCCTGAGATGAGATTGAGTTGGATGCTTAACTGACCGAGCCACCCAGATGCCCCTTTTTTTTTTTTTTTAAAGATTTATTATTTGAGAGAGAGCACAAGTGGGTAGGAGGGGCAGAGGGAGAAGAGGGAGAAGCAGACTCCCCGCTGAGCAGGGTGCCCAACGCAGGGCTCGATCCCAGAATCCTGGGATCTTGACCTGAGCCGAAGGCAGACGCTCAACCAACTGAGCCACTCAGGTGCCCCAGCAGGATTGGTTTCAGTTGAGTTTCTTACTTGGGATGCCACTGGGAGCCACAGTGAGTTTATTTTAGCCTGTTCTCCTATGCTTATTTTACCAAAAGAGTAACAGAATCCAAATTTGTATAAGGATGCTTTTGGGCATTGGACACCACAAAATACATTATGGCTAATCATATTTTATTTGGGGATGTTTTATCTTGCTTGTTCCTTGGTGTTTTAGGCAGAGTAATTCAACAGTGTGTAGTATGGAATAGCAAGGGTAGGAGGAGAGTGGGAA